CTACACCTCATCCACACCTGCCAAACTTAGATCTGAAAAAAATATTTGATAATGACATCTCAACATTTAAATGTCATCTTAAATTCTTAATGGTATTCATATTAAAACAGAGGTCAGGGGATGATTTATTGCCATCATGACAATCTTATGGCATTATAAATACTGTTTTTGAAAGTGTCATATAATGTCATCTTCATGTAATTAGTGCCACACAAATGGCAATAATGTGCAAAAAATAACAATATTTATATGAAAAACATGGCATTATTAGTATTATATTTGTCATCTTGATTTAGTTTAGTGTCATAAAAAATGGCATTATGTCTCAAAATAATATGTGCAAAATTAACATGGCATTATTAGTATTATACAGAGTATTTGTTATCTTGATTTACTTTAGTGTCATAAAAATGACATTATGTGTCAAAATAATACGTGCAAAATTAACAATATTTATATGAAAAACATGGCATTATTAGTATTATATTTGTCATCTTGATTTAGTTTAGTGTCATAAAAAATGACATTATGTGTCAAAATAATATGTGCAAAATTAACAATATTTATATGAAAAACATGGCATTATTAGTATTATAAAAATGGCATTATGAATCAAAACAATATTTTCAAATAGAAAACATGTCATTAATAGTATTGTTTTAGTAAAGCATTATTTTTTTTATCTTAGTAATATAAAAATCATGTAAAAATAGCGATTTGGAAATTCCATATTCAAACCAAAAATCAATTTCGAAATTACAAAAATATTGATTGAAATCAAACGTTAAAATTCCAATTTGTATTATAAAACATAAATTAAAAGTCAAAAGAACAAAAGATGAAACAAAATTGAAAGAAAAAACAAAAAATTAAAAAAAAAATCGGCAAAAGCAGATCTGGGAAGAAGGAACAAAGTAGAAGCCAAAATCAAATACTATCTATAAAACTTGGTTCTTATCCTAACGAGTAAATTGGAAGCACAAATCGAGCAGCAAAAATCAGAAAACAGAAGGCCATGTTGCTCAACAAAATAAAAGGATGAAGAAGGAGAAGATGAAGGAGAAGAAGAGAAGAAGAAAAGAAGGAAGAGAAGAGAAAAAGATCAAATTACCGATGATTGCCGCCGCTTGCCGCGCCGGTGGCTTGAGTTGATGAGAAATCTGGAGAAATGTTAGAAGAGAGGCGGAGAAAGGAGATGAAAGAGGAGAGAGGGGAGGGATGGAGGGTTGCGTGAGAAGAGAGAGAGAGGATAGGCTCAAGGTAGGTTGTTTGAGAATAGGGAAGATGAGTTTGACAAAAGAAAAAAGATCTGACAGAATAAAATTAATTACTCCGTATGGCATGTGTAATGAAGGGCAAAATTGACAAAACAAACGGACCAGTCAACTAAAAGCTCCTATTTATGGAATAAATCAATAAGGAGTCCTATTTTGGAATTTTCTAATTGTTTTACTCCTATTTAGAGCAATTACTTAAAAAAAACTTTTACGGATATTCCAAATGGAATGAGCAAACCTTTGGATTAGACATAGAGTCAATCACGCACACAAATTGACTCACTAACCACCTTGTAGGCACACGCATAATCTATAACTATCGAATTAGTGACATTGTCAATCAATTCATGTCTCCAACTAGCTATCATAAAAAATACGGAGTATCAAGATGTGTCAACCAAAGACTCCAAAAACAAAATAAACATAACTACTTCAATTAAACGAAGAAAATATAACGCTGAAACAAAAATTGTTTTTTCAAAATCGTCAAAATCGAGGTATCAGACAGCGCTTTCCAAAAATCCCTTACCGACACGGATGTGGTTTTAGAGGTAGGCGAGCTACTACAATATTGATGGAAACGCAAATCCTTCTTCCTGCTCCGTCCTAAGTAGTTGTAGGAATATGTAGAGTCAAATTAAATACACTATTTATGCCTCAACCATACCGATCTACATAGCCCATAACTGTTAGTTTGGAATGTCTACTCTTAACTCTTTAATGCAACAAGGAAACGAGGCATAACTTTTGTTATATCTACTTCAGGACTCTTCATCCACCCTCCCTCAAATGTTCTATTAAAGAAACTGTGCAATGTAATTACATCTTGAGACGAAAGGCATAACTAGTTTCACGCCATATCCAGGCTGACGCCTTTTATGGGTAATTAAGGTGCACATCATACGGTGTAAGATATGAGGCGTTGAGGGGATTATGCAATTGTAGTTTGACGATAATAAGTGCAGGGATGGATTTAAGGGGGGCGCGGGCGCGGGGGCGACCGCCCCCTTGGACTTTCAAAATTTTGTAGTATATATATGTAATATTTTCAGAAAACTTTCATACGTTAATTAGATATATTTGTGTTCGCCCCCCTTAACTTTTAGTTTTCAAAATGAATATATAGCTTTATTTTACATAATGTAATACTTAATTGGAGATTTAAAAGAAGAAATGTCTAAAATAATTTACATAACTTAAACAAATGAACAAAGAACAACTCGTTATTTAAGGACCTAGGATATTCATTATATAAAAATTCTCAGTTTTGTAATGTTTAATTATCTTTATGAGATAACTAGTACTCGATTTTGTATAATATCAAACAATATTAAATACAAAACACAATAGTTCAACAATTTCTGGATCACGTGAAGTGAATTCATAATATTGTTTGTTGACATAATTAAATTACACAATGCATTTACTTCTTATTTCTTTCTAAAAACAATTTATTGAATAGATAATAAGATTTAACTTATTTTAGCATTAATACAAATGTAATATGTACGATATATATGAATTAGCAATATAATATTGTTCTAAAAATAATAATCTCACACATACTATTGTAACACTAAGATATCGGAACTCACAAACACCCTCCTTCATACACAAAAAATACAATTCCAAAACCAATTCTTTATTCCGATAAGATTCATGTGATCAAACAACGTAATAGTTATGTAAAAAGTATTTTTTGATGTGTAACTTTTAAACTCTTTACCTTAAAGTAATATGATAAAATTTTATATATCCATTTTAATTTCCAAATAATTTTCTTTTGATTTGTCATTTCTTACGCTTTAATGTATTAATACTTTTTTCTAGGACACTTCAGTTACAAAATCAAAGTTATTTTTTCATTGTCTAAACTTAAAATCTAATAAATTTAAATTTCATCGTGTATGCACTAATGTTTTTTTTTTGAATAAAAATTAGTCGCAAAGACCTACTGTAGCGGGAAAAAAATCGCCCCATTACACAAGCGAAAAAAAATTCGTCGTGCAGCACTAGCGATTTTTTTCACTCTATACAGTAATGAAAAAAATTTCGCCCCCTTGACTCGAAATCTTGGATCCGTCCCTGAATATGTGTATGTGTCCCATGCAGGTAAAGTAGATAATAGTCCGGCCCAATTTTAATTAAAACCAAATAATTTTAATAATTGACAGATACTTTTCTACTGATCTCTCCGCCTCTCATGTTTGTTCATCTCCAAAGTATGCTCGGTTTATTTATTTTTATTACGCAGCCACTTCCCTGCCTTCCTTCTGTCCTTTTTTATCTCCAGCTTATGGATGGACTGGGACAAGTCAGCCCCGCCCGTGACCGGGACTGTGTAGACACGGACCATTCTAGCCCGCTAATGTATAGGCCCACTCCCAGTCTGGTGGCTATAAGGGCGGGCTTCGGGCTCGTTTTTTGGGTCCGACCGGGCCGGGCCGGTTCTTCGATTGCACTATTTTTTAAATTTATTTATTGCTCAGTCTCATCCCAAAGCCCGGTCCGACCCGGTACTGTTTAGGCCCGGTCCCGGTACAAACCCGGGCCGGTACCGGGCCTGAAATTTTTAGGCCCAAGCCTGCCCAGTCCCGGCCTAACCCGGTCACGGTCCATCCCTACTCCAGCTTTGTAGACACACAAGATGTCTATCTAACCATAAACTACTTTTGATTTTCTCATTTCAGAAAAACTATATATCGAATTGTCTTGTCTTTGTCTAAACATAAATTCTTCAAGAGTCGTTACCTGTATATTTTATCATCTAATGCTTGAGCTCAAGATTTCGATGACTTTATGACATTATTATTAGTTTTTTAATGAAATTTGTTGTTTTGTATGTGATTTATTTCTTATCAATTCTAACTTTTTATTTATGTATTTGACTTACAAAATAAGAGTTACGCCACAACCTTACACCTTGTGCAATGAGGCTTATACAACACTCAAAGCTAAAAAAGTGCCTCAAGTATACAATACACAATTTTTTAAGCTTCATTAAATCTAAATCTTCATATGTAACTGAAAAAAATCTAAAGAATAGAAGTTTTGAGCAAGAAAAACTGTAACGAGTCTGCTGACTTATTATCAATAAAAATCCAAGTGATTGCTACACAAATTTGCATACTTCTAATCTTCCCAGTATTTCTAGGAACAGAACCCATAACCAAACCTTTCTGAGTAAATCTACTCCTAGGGGTGGACTCGGGCCTGGGCCCGGCCGGGCCTCGGCTCATGAAAGGGGAGGCCCGGAACCGGCCCAGGTAACTCCCGGGTCCGGTTCGGGCCGGGCCTCGGTTCAACTTTTTTTTTGGCTTTTCCTAATTAACCCCCAACCCTCCCCCCTCACCCCCAAACCACCCCAAACCACCTCAAATGGCCCAAAATACTCAGCCCAACCCAAAAATTTAAAAAAAATTCAAAAAAAAAAAAAGAAAAATAAAATAAATTGGCTCGGACCGGGCCCGAACCGGCCGGGCCGGTTCACCTTTTCAGGGGCCCGAGCCCGGCCTGGAACCCCAGCGGGTCGGTCCCGACCCGGACCGGTCCCTGGCCGGGCCGGCGGTTCGGGCCGGTTCAAACAGTGAGCGGGTCGGGCCGGTTCAAACAGTGAGCGGGTCGGGCCGGTTCCGGGGCGGGCTGCCCGGCCCGAGTCCACCCCTATCTACTCCCCTTCCCCTACTTGCCCATAACAAGATATTGCTGCAGTAACAGATTGCATAGCAAAGAACTTCAAATTGGATATAAAGGACTTAATGAATAACACAATAAACTGTACATACATAATAGAAAAAGAATAGATTGGAAAGCTGGTCATCTTTTTAGTTTTCTTGTCCAATAATTTCACAAAAAGGACTATGCCATATTGCTTATTCTATAGATATAGATGTATTGTATATATACAAATACATATATACACACACATATAACCCTAGAACCATACCATCGTCTTCCTACCCCAAACACTCTTGTTTGGGGTAGTAATGAATGTACCTATGAATTGTCATGCCCATCTCACTTCACTAGTTCATGCATGTACCTGTCTCGGTGAATACATCACATCCTACATTCAGGAAAAATAAAAAATAGAATCAATATTCAACCACATCAAATTGGGGCCAAATTGTGAAACTAGCCTAGCCTAAACAAGAAACACAATCTCCAGATTGCATGCAAAAACACTAGCTTGAGGCAATTCCAATAAATATTACGGAGTAAATCATTGTTAGGGTCCATGACAATCATCTCTACTTGGGATAATTCCCCCAAAAAACTCTTCCCTCATACTGCAATTGGGCAAGAAATCCACATTGCATTTAGGGTTGCAGCTAAAGAACCCAATATCCCATTCCTTTCCACCAATACAGTGCTCGTGCTCCAACACACAATCATGCCCACCGCTTTCACTGCTACCCATACCCACAAGACTATGTTGCCAATCTTTAATGACATCACCTTTCACATGTGCTTCTTGTGGCATGACAACAGCATTACAGTTCTCATCTCCATTCAGAATAACTGTATCTGTATCCCTAAGTGTGCATTTAGATCCCGGAAGATACTAGGCAAACAAAAGGAAAATGTTATGGAGCCAAATTAGAGCGAAAGAAACTGTGGGAGAGGGGGATAAAAGGCAGGCTAAAACTCAAGAAATTTACTTTTCCGTGTTCTAAACATACCTTAACAGTTTGTTCATGATTGACAGGCATATTTGCCAAATTGCTAATATCCTGATTACATGCTGATCGATCATCGTCAGGGCGATGATCGTCATCCAGATAAATAGGCGACTCTGCATGTGAATCTTTATCATCATCACTCATTTTAGCTTCATCACCAGATGACTCCACATTTGCATGCCATTCATCATTGTCACTATCAATATTCAAGGGGTCAAACCTATTCTGCTCAGCTCGCCTCCTCAGCATGAAGACATTGAAGTAGTAACTCACTATTTGATTCCTAGTTCTTGAAGGGAACTCAACACCAAGATTGTCCCAGAAATTCTTTCCCAGAGATGCAGGGTTGGAAAAGACAACATCGTGGAACAACTCCTGCTCTTCTTCGCTCCATCTCAACGCCACAACTTCACCCATATCATAAAATCCAAGCTTCTCAAATATCTCCTCCCCAAGCATTCTCTTGAGTTTCTCTCTTGCTTCAGAATTGTGCTGGCGGATGCATCTGATGGAGCCTGCATCTTCACAAAGACAACTGCTGCTTATAATCCCTGGACTACTCACTTCATTGTATCCAGACGAGTCTTGTTTGGGCATGGGTATGATACAGGTCCCACAAAGTCTATTTTCATCACTAAAATGGGCATTGCTATGTGAATCCGAAGCTTGGGAGGTATCATTATGTTCCTGTCCCAACAAATCAGGTAATTCTGCCTGATGATCCGGACCAAGAGGAACCAGCTTTTGAGGAGGGCTTCTAATGAGAGTAGAATATATCAGTTTTGATCGCGAAACGTTGAGGTTGTAATGCTCAGGAGACAATAAAATGTGATAAGGATACTCTGACTTAATATCTTCACAGGTGCTGCTAGTGAAAGAACCAGGATGAATGCCTGGTTCTATATCTCTCTCTGAACTCTGGAAGTCATCAGTACAGCCACCATCAAATTTATTATCACTTGTGAATTTTTTTTGAAATGAAATGTCCTCCTCACCTTCACCTACCAAATATTAGGACCCATCTTTTAGTACCATCATACACTAGTGCATTAAGAAATTGTTAGGGCCCATCTGGACCTCAGAAATGTTAATGATAGAAAATGGGAGGAAAAATAGAGCGGAGATTTGCAAGGGGTGAAATTGAAGGGGGGGAAATCGGTTTATAATACAATTCATTAATTTTATATATCTTCAACCTATGATGTATACATACTACGTATTTCTGTCATATACAGACTGAGAAATGTTAATATATGAAAAATGAAAATTAAAAAGCTTTTAGTCAAATTTGATTTTATTTATCATTATCCAGCCTGCAACCAAACATAAAACCATTTCCTCAGCACTTTCTTCATCTCCTTACAATTTACAAGATCTAAATATAGCCTTAAATTGCAAGGAGGTAAAGAACGTTATAGGGTAGTAGCAAAAACCTATTAAATCAATAAAAATATTAGCATTACATTTTTATGATGTTATGGAATCATTTTTTTCACCTAATGAGTGATAATTGATAGCAATTTGATCATGAGAAAACCCCAAAGAAGCTATCTGCTCATCACGGCTCACAATCCTAGGCTGCTTGGAAGATGGCAGATTCAGCTCTTGGTCAAATGACCGCTTTTCCACCATGTTAATCTGAAAATGTATTTTTAGGGGGTATAAGTAGCAGAACAAAAATATATATATGCAACATAACACCTCAAGTTTCACATGTGTTGCATGCGTGCAAAATGAAAAGGCACATTAGAGCCTTTGACATTGACAAGCTCACAGGCCGAAAAGGTCATTCAACTAAATCAATAGTGCAGTAAGAAATATAGACTGGTCAATGCTTATGTAAATCCATTGGAAACACCATGCCCACATAATCCCCTACCTCTCCTATTGGCAAGGAAAGCTGTTGGACATAAGACTCATAACCATAGCCACAAAGTTCGCGGAATGCTTCGGTACGGTAACGAGGATCAGGAACGCAGTTCGCTAGGTCTAGCGTACTGAGGGGGGTAGGTTCATTTCGATACACATTAGGTATGCTGTACCTTATGTTTGGTATGTTGTACCTTATGTTTTGGTACTATGGTAAAACAGAATTACACATTTCATAACACTAAACAAAAAAACAGATTTCATAACATTAAACAAAATAAAAAGAACTCCCTCCGTCCCATTGGACTTTGCAAACTTTCCCTTTTTGGTTGTCCCAAAAAACTTTGTTACTTTCCCATTGAAGTAACTAATTTATGGTCCTTCTCATTTCTCTCTACTCTGCACAAACCTCAACCACACAATTTTTACTATTCTCCTTATTTCTCAACTAATTCAAACTGTGCAAAGTACACTAGGACGGAGGTAATATTAATAGTAGTATTATAGAAACTCTTACCTCAAAACTGAAAATACAGAAACTTTAAATAGGAGAAGACTGGAGTACTGAACTACTGGTGTACTGGAGAGTAGAAGGTGTCTGAAGGACTGAAACTGAACAATTTTCACTCCATTAAATAGGCGACCTTGTGGAAGAGTAGGTGTGGTCGGAAAACGAAGAGTCCTGGACCAGAAAACGAAGAGGTTGGTTCCAGTCTGTAGCAACGCTTGAAATCAAACATTTGTGGGTCATTTTATCTGCATGCGGAAAGAAAACAATGAGGCTTGATAGCTCTTGGTGCGTATGCGATCGACATCAAAAGTGATTGTGAATGAACTGGATAGGGATTGCGAACAAACTGGAGAGCATTTGCGAATGAATTCAATAGCGACTAGGAACGATCCGGGAAGCATATTCACTAGCGATTCTGGTAGCATTTGGAACTTTGGAATGCTTTCGTTAGTTCATACCGCAATTGGATACGGAACGTTCAGAACAGAGAACATGGGCTCTTGAGCAATTTATGTAACTATGGTCATAATATATCCTCTGTTAAGCTGCTAATAGACCTCATAGTTACAAATTGCAGACATTTCCCCCCTTCGCCCCCAATCACATCATTCATTTACTATATGCAATGATAAAAACATTAAAAATGGCGTCAAAGTAGATGTTGTTCATAGAATTTCCTTGGGTAGTCCTTAGTACTGAATTCTGACAAAGTGCATTCTAATAAAGAACTATGAAAAAAAATCACAACCATTTCCCTGATTAAGTTCACATTCAAAAGCAGTATTACACAATGTCTGTACTCTTCAACTCAATGCAGTATACCCAGTTATCAGAAACAGTAAATCATGAACAATGCATTTAAAGAGCCATCTGTAAAAAAATGGTAGACTACTCGAGAGAAATTCTAAACACAGGACAAACAGACTTAAATTGAAGACAAGTAGGGCCAGAAAGCTGAAAAAGTCTAGTTGTACACGAAATTTGTACACATCAAGAATTGTTGTTACAGATAAGCCCACTGAAAATTAAACATTCGAATACCTGAAAGTGGAGGGGTGCTCTTCAAATCGAACCAGATCTTCGAAACTGATCTAAATCCAAATGGATTAACCGAATAAAAAAGTATTCAAAATAACTATTCCCCTCCGGAATAGTGGTTATCAAAATTAACTAACCCTAGATCCCTAAATACAACCATGCAAATTAAAAAATAAAATATTTTTTTTACCCAATCAAATCTAATTTAAATATTTAATAATAGAGTATGAAAACGCCTGGCTTTGAGACACTAGATATCCACCTAGAAAGACTAAAAAAGAACCGCAAGCAGGTTGAAAACTACCTAGACAAACAACGATTCACGGACAAAACTCTTCTATTTATTAAATACTCCGTATGTAGGAAATATAGATCGAAGGAGGATAAGAAAACAATATACAGTAGATGTTACAGAAATATGCAATCTAAATATAGACAAACGGGTTTGAAATGAATCCAATTGGGGATGATGTTAAACGGTTAAACCAGGAAAGGGTGAAGCTAACCGATCTGTGAAATCGACACTTTTCTTTTCTTTCTCAAATGAAAACGTGGGAGGGATTTGGTCGTACAAGTGTACAGCACGTTTCTTTTGTCGTGCAGAATGCAGATGGACTTCGAATTTAGTAAAAAATTAAAAAAAAAAAGTACTGGTAAAAGTTATGCAACGAAATTTGTAGAGGCAGGTGACAGAGTAGAGGAACATATCAACAGAATTACAAATTTGTTAATGAATTTTGCTAGAGCTACCCCAACTATACCCCAAGTTGTACCCATATAAAACCCTCTCTTTTTACTCATCTATTTTTTACCCCCAATCACTTCTCCAGCTTCTCTCCTCTGTCTTTATCCTCTTTCTCTTCTGCCCATTTTTTTCGTTTCTAACGCAGGAGCTACAGAGACGAGGTCATCCACAACGGAGGCCGTCCACGAACGGAGGTCATCCGCAAACGGAGGTCATCCACCGGCTATAGTTCGCCTCAACTCTTTCTCTCTTCTTTCCCTGTTCTTCATTTTTTGCGAGCCTCTTCAATCAATATGCCTCCAACTATTCTTCATGAATTGGAGGTACCTTCCAACTATTTTAGGTCATTAATATGCCCATAACATGTTTGTTGAAATGCTTAAATGAATTTTTTGTTTATGTCCTCTTATGTTATAAGGATTTTGGATTTTTGTTTTACTAGTATAAGTTTCAACTTTAAACTGTGCATATTGTTGTCTGGTGTATTACTTGAAGTGTATATATGGTTGATTTCTCTTAGTAGTTGGTAATGGTTTAGTAGTTTAAAAATTGTTTGTAGTTGTCTGTCATGTGAAATTAGTTGTCTGGCAAGCTTTTTGAGTTGTCTGTCACTTCATTTTGAACTGTTGAAACTAGCCATTTGAGTTGTGTGTCATGTGAATTTAGTTGCCTGGTAAGCAATTTGAGTTGTCTGTCACTTCATTTGAACTGTTGAAACTAGCTAGGTTTGTAGTTGTCTGTCATGTGAAATTAGTTGTCTGGCAAGCCATTTGAGTTGTCTGTCACTTCATTTGAACTGTTGAAACTAGCTAGGTTTGTAGTTGTCTGTCATGTGAAATTAGTTGTCTGGCAAGTCATTTGAGTTGTCTGACTTCATTTGAACTGTTGAAACTAGGTTTGTATTGTCTGTCATGTGAAATTAGTTGTCTGGCAAGCCTTCTGAGTTGTCTGTAGGGTATTCAATTCAACCTTTATTACATTACATAAATTGTCTGGATAAGTGTCGTAAATATCTGTCTTGGTTATACTTGTCTGTCTACAGGATTTTGGATTTTTGTTACAATCCTCTTATGTTTTAAGGATTTTGGATTTTTGTTTTACTGGTATAAGTTTCAACTTTAAATTGTGCATATTAGGAATGTTTCATATATTAAGTATTCCTAACCTTGAGTAATTTGAGTTGTCTGTATTTGTTTTTAAGACTAGAGGAGTTGTCTGCCACTTGATATTTAATTAAATTGTTTGTCATTTGCTTGTTAGTTGTCTGTATTTGTTTGAATTGTCTGTAATGACTTGTCTGTCATGTTGTTGTGATGAGTCTGTAAGAGTAGTGAAGTTGTCTGTCATTTTAAAAATAGATGTCCGTAATTCATCTTTAGTTGTCTGTCATTTTAAAAATAGATGTCTGTAATTTATATTTACTTGTCTGTGTTAAGTGTTCTAAATGTATGTATGTGCTTTATTTGTCTGTCTACAGATCTGGAGAAGTTAATGCTTACAGATTATGGCTACACCAACATGTCGAACAAAAGGCTTGAATTTGCTATTGAATTTTGGCGCTTGAAGAAGGCTGAAGCATAGAGTGTTGGAGAAATGTGTCGGTTTTGAACTTCTGATATTTTTAATGTGTATTTTTTTACAAACATTACATATTACAGTTGGGGAAATGTGTCAAATATTGTACAATGTTGAAGAATTGGATTGGTTTTTAAAGAATTCCCACATTTCTAAAGAATTCCTATGCTTCCTCCACCCTCTTCAATCGCCACAAACGAACATCGTATTGACATCTCTTGTTCCACATGTTTGCATATTCACACTCTGGAACCAAGGGCTTTCCCATTAACAGGTGCTCTGCAAAGGATGCAATCATCGCTCCACATTCTTCGGACCTGTAGACAGACAAGTATAACCAAGACAGATATTTACGACAGTTATACAGACAATTTATGTAATGTAATAAAGGTTGAATTGAATACCCTACAGACAACTCAGAAGGCTTGTCAGACAACTAATTTCACATGACAGACAACTACAAACCTAGTTTCAACAGTTCAAAATGAAGTGACAGACAACTCAAATGGCTTGTCAGACAACTAATTTCACATGACAGACAACTACAAACCTAGCTAGTTTCAACAGTTCAAATGAAGTGACAGACAACTCAAATGACTTGCCAGACAACTAATTTCACATGACGAACAACTACAAACCTAGCTAGTTTCAACAGTTCAAATGAAGTGACAGACAACTCAAATGACTTGCCAGACAACTAATTTCACATGACAGACAACTACAAACCTAGTTTCAACTGTTCAAAATGAAGTGACAGACAACTCAAATGGCTTGCCAGACAACTAATTTCACATGACAGACAACTACAAACCTAGCTAGTTTCAACAGTTCAAATGAAGTGACAGACAACTCAAATTGCTTACCAGGCAACTAATTTCACATTACAGACAACTCAAATGGCTAGTTTCAACAGTTCAAAATGAAGTGACAGACAACTCAATGGCTTGCCAGACAACTAATTTCACATGACAGACAACTACAAACAGTTTTTAAACTACTAACCCATTACCAACTACTAAGAGAAATCAACCATATATGCACTTCAAGTAATACACCAGACAACAATATGCACAGTTTAAAGTTGAAACTTATACTAGTAAAACAAAAATCCAAAATCCTTATAACATAAGAGGACATAAACAAAAAATTCATTTAAGCATTTCAACAAACATGTTATGGGCATATTAATGACCTAGAATAGTTGGAAGGTACCTCCAATTCATGAAGAATAGTTGGAGGCATATCGATTGAAGAGGCTCGCAAAAAATGAAGAACAGGGAAAGAAGAGAGAAAGAGTTGAGGCGAACTATAGCCGGTGGATGACCTCCGTTTGCGGATGACCTCTGTTCGTGGACGGCCTCCGTTGTGGATGACCTCGTCTTTGTAGCTCCTGCGTTAGAAACGAAAAAAATGGGCAGAAGAGAAAGAGGATAAAGACAGAGGAGAGAAGTTGGAGAAGTGATTGGGGGTAAAAAAAATAGATGGGTAAAAAGGGAGGGTTTTATATGGGGTACAACTTGGGGTATAGTTGGGTTACCTGTAGCAAAATTCTTTGTTAATTTAGTTGAAAAGTGACTTTTGGAATAACAAAAAAGAGTAATTCTTCGTGTTTATAAAATGCATACACAAATTGTACAATGTCTGTGTACATAGATATTTTGAAAAAATGATGTCACTTTTCAAAAAAAAAATGTGTGTGTACATACTACATAGAGAACTTGGAAAGTTGTGTACTGATTTTGTGTACAATAAGAATTTTGCAACAAAAAAGAAAACTGGAGAATTTTGCAACAAAAAATAAAACTGGTAACATCCACTGAGACATAGGGAGTATGACATATCATCTGTATATAAAAATATACAATTGATATTGGAGTTGGTCAGCTCCTACTCAGGGGTCTTTCTTGGAGCAAGTGCAGCGGGAATTCTTTGTGAAGAAGGAGGACGGGCTATGCAAAATGATATGGGGGTGTTGGGGATTGTGGTGTGAGAGGAACAAAAGAGTGTGGGAAGGAGTTGCGATTGATAACAAATCAGTACAAGTGAAGGCTAGGGTCTTTGTTGAGGGGTGGGTTTTGGCGCATAAACTTGGCTTGGGGCAAAGCTCATCTCCAGGAAGTGTCATTGCAGGTTGGAGAAAACCTCCTCATGGCAGGCTGAAGTTAGAAGTTTTCTATATTGTGTTCACATGAAAGGCGAGTAGGACTTCTATGAAGAATTCAATTCCTAATTTCCCTGAAGTTTCCTCCATGTGCAAGAATGACAAAGGGATCTTCCATACACCTAGGAGTGACCTTCCTTCCAACCACCATTGAAGCTTCCTTCCACCTTCATAGTACCTAATTTTGGTGCTATAAATAGAGAGCTTGGAGAGTCTTTCTATCATCAAGTAAATTAGAATAGATCATCATAGCACAACCAAGAAGAGTTGTGAATATCCTTGAGAGATATGTGAGGTGTTGTTTTTGAGAGTTTTTAGTTAGAGCTTGTATGTCTCTTCTTTCTATTCTTGAAAGTAATAGAAGTGTTTTTCTCTCATATTAGCACGATCCTGTTATTCCCAACAAGTGGTATCAGAGCCTGGTTGAGCTTTTGATATTTTTCCCAGATTTTTTTCAGATAAAATTCTACTGTCTGAAAAATCGAGTTTTTCAGTATTGCTCGGAATTGCAATCTGAATATACCGTTGGATTCGTCTCGTCGAGACGAGAAAACTGGTATTTTTGGGGATTTTTTTGGCCACCGGAAGCTGCCGTACGCGCCGCCAAACGTCGGCCAAAAACTGCCTGCGTCATGCTGACGTCATCACGCGCAGACAGAGGTTGAAGACAGCTGACGTCATCGCTGACGTCATCAGCCAGCCAGAGCTGCGTCCGCGACACGTCAGCGCCACATGTGCAGTCCCAGCACAGTCAGCCGCCACGTCACCAGTCAACTGCCAACTTTCATCAGCGCCTAGTCAGCTGCCACGTCATCGCCCAGTCACCGCCACGTCACCGCCACGTCATCTGCCACGTCACCGGTCAGTTTGTAATTTTGAAAATTTGCATTTTGGTCCCTCAATTTTTGGAAAATTATAATTTCCACCTATAATTTTTCGAAAATTGTATTTTGACCCCGAAAGTGCCTACCCACCACTTTCGTCCGTTCCGGACGCAACGGTGCTGCCCGTTTTTCAAAATTCGGCTCCGATTTTTCTGAAACAGAAAATCAAAATTATTTAGAAGGTGAAAATGACCTTTGACGAGTCAACTTCATCTTCCGGAGCTATGATTATGCTCACGGCTACCAACTACACGCTATGGAAACCTCGGATGGAAGATTTCCTTAGTTGTA